TTGGTTATATCAGAATTATTGACCTTTTTTTTCTTAAATTAACGAGACAGAAAAGGTGATACGATATTAAATTTTTAAAAAGCGTAGAAGGGGGAATTTATTACTAAAATTTCGTGTCAATACGTTCAAGAAATCCCGATAACCAGTTCGAAGTACACGGTTTCGAGGTAAACGCCTTCAAACCTGTCAGACTGCGATTGTGTAATCCGACACACCCTCGAAAATATTCTGTGACGCCGTTATTTTATCGAATTTCAAAATGAAACTTAAGGAATATATATTTAGATGATTGATACTTTCAAAAGATTTCTAAAGAGTTCTTAAATTTTTGGCTATGTGTAAATATCACAAAGGAAATTCGAGACCCCTAGAAAGTATAAATGGAATTCAGTTTTTATTATTTAGCTATTTTGTATTTGTTTTGAGTTATTTTTATATTAATTGAAATAAACAGCTTTTATAAATTGGGTCGAGCTTGGTAAAAAGGAAAGGCTTCTATTCGATTTTCCTATTTTTATTAGATCAGATGACGCAAATTACTTTTATCTCGTTTTAATTGATCCAATCCATCGGGTGTTACAGATACTTATAAATGCTCGATTGATCAGTGCATTGCGTGCGATAAACGCCTATGGGCATTCGGTGAATGTGCTTCGTAAATGCCAAGACGGGATTTCCGCACACGTCGCATGCCCAGCATATGAATCTCAGCGCTGAAAGGATCGAACGACTTTTAAAAAAGCACGGAAATATATATTCTTCGACTTAATGGATACTTTCTAGAAATAGAATGTCTACATTCGTGCTCACAGAACAGCAGTCGAGATATCTCAATTTTGAAACTTTCAATTCCAATGTAAAAATCGAAAGGATTGTTTGTTTGAAAAACTTGTCATCTTTATATTAAGTTTTCTAATATTGCAATGCTATATAATAAGGTTTGAAAAATTAAATTTGAGAATTTTTATATCACACATAATAATAGAATTAATTGTTGATACACGAGAAATAGATCACAAGTTTGTATGTTACTTGGCACGTTTTCTGGATGTGTCACAATATTTTACTTCGTTCAACGTTGAGTATTATCACTGTGTTACACAACTCTTAATAATGATACTATAGTTTCACTTCTAATACGAACACGTTATACTAGGCTGTGACTGTTCAAAGAAACTAAGTAGATCAGTTTTCTAATGAGTGACAATTACACCATGGTTGGTGCTCGAAGAAATAAATATCTAACGATAAGCTGTAACGACAAAAACAGTATCGTTCAGACGATATTTAAGATGTTAGCTTGTTTAGTGAAATAGAAGAATGATTTTTTAACACAATAATTGGTACAAACGATGTGAAGTATATTGATTGTAATTGCCATCATCTTCGAAGCTTTTAATCGACCAACGATTAGTATCGTTTCGTTAAATAAAGAAGCAATTCTGTTATTAGAGTAAATATAAAGCTTTCAAAATACCGTCTCGCTTTGTTACAGCGATTGAAAGAGTTCAACTAATACACAGTACTTTGGATGAAGTTCCTAGCAGTACTGATAGCATAACAGAAAATTACACCGATCGTTTTGAAGCATTATGTTCAACTAGTTGGAACAAAAATGATAGTCCAGTGATAGAAAGTTTCCTTTCTTTGCAATTTATTTCTACAAATAAAAAGTCCAAATCTAGATAATTTTCGAAGGAATTATTATTTTCTGTAATTATTTTATAACTCTGTCTATTCTTATCCAACCCAGACGAAATATTATTTAGTTACTCTTTATGTTCCAATTGAAAGTACAGGATACATAAATTGCAAATATATTAGCCATAATTGTACACTCTGTTAGGTTTGTTTCAACCGTGATAAAGCAAATAATTACATCGAATTAAAAATTTTTTCGTTGAAAGTCCAGTTTGACCAGCGACGTTAATAACTAATTTTCGAAAAATAATGGGTCAGCGAATTCGTTTTTTCCACGAGGAATTAATTGACCGGTTCGTGATTTAACACAGTTACCGATGACTCGTCAGTGAAATCCTGAATCCGCTTTAACGTCGTTTATCGCCGGTGGACACGGAAGAACCATAATTTAAGATGAGTATCGGTTACCCGGTTTAATGATGGAACGTTGGTTGGTTAGGTTCATTAACTATCGTCAGCGATAACCGATCGGTAGATTTATTCATAGAGTCTCGTTACTCCTATTCGCGCAAATCGCGAGTCTCGCAAATAATCGTCTAATTAGTATTCTTTTGTGGTTTCGCAAGACACGATAAGCGTACGATTAATCAAAGACGCCTGAGTCTTTTGTCACAAATTCCGACAGCGGATCGATTCAAATCATATGGAAGAGAAAGTCTTTTAATTCGTCTTTTTATGAAACGTTTCGACATACTTCGTAACAACAAAATGAAGTATTAGGCAATGTAGAACGAATCAATGAACGACGTTGTAAAAAAAAAAAATGAGTACGTGTGGAAATGTGGCTGTCGATCTTCAATCTTGTGTCTCGTATATACCAATTAATTCGTATCGAATCTCTCTGTGCAATAATTTGATAAGTGAATAAATATTCGCAATTTAGGGTTAAAGAAACGTGAGACCAACGAGCTCTTTTTCTGCTCGTTCAACGATCGCTGATGCTTTCACCTTAAGTCTGCCCATGAAATCGATTCGTCCAGTCTCTTCCTGGTTCGGTAACAATCTACCGAGCGTTCATCTTTTCGTTTTTTTTCTCTCTGTATCTCTTATCAACACCAATTCGAGGAAAGTGATCCCCTACTCGTTACATGGATATCCCAGTTCCGGTAAGAAATTATTTATTTCTACGAGAAATTAGTTTTCTCGTTCTGTTTGATCGACGTCGTAATTAAGGCAATAGAGATCTTAATTCCGTAACATCGATCGTTGGCGGTAGCACAAGTGTTTCCTTAGTGTCGTTACGTGACAGGACTTTCCTCGCGTGGCACAAACTTCCCTCCGTTCTTGCTCTAATTGCATTCGATCGATGCTTCGGCGTAGCTCACCTGTAACATCGCAGGTGTATCGCGAACGATGACGCTGGGTGTCTTCATTAAGCTGCTTGCGAAAGAAGTCTATTGACTGCGCTCACGCGATAGAAATAATGACGCAAGTCGGTTTGCTCTAGGACTCGTCGCGTTATGAAACTAGGCAAACGACAGTTACCGTGTTCGGATGCATCTTAAGTCGTGCTGTTTGCATTGATTAACCTAGTATTCGAGAACCGTGTAAAATTTTATTTAAATGTAGGCGGATCGCCTGGAATATGAATGAAACGCTAACCAGCGATTTATTCATCGCTTGTTCCAAATATTCTTGGTAGTTTGAGAAATTTAAAATGATTTTGTGTGTTAGCTTCTTTAAATACTTTGATCGTTTTTGTAATAGCTGAATATTTAATTGAATTGTAGATAATATAGGAATTATTAATAATATTTAATCTGCAATCTATTATTTGTTCGCCTCCGTAATTATTATTAAGCAATTAGAATGTTAAACACTTCCTGTATTGTTCCGCGAAGGTTATTGAGCCATTTAATTCGAATTTATTTATCGCTTGTTCCAAGTATTCCTGGTAGTTTCAGAAATTTTAAATAATTTTGCGCGTTAGTTTCTTTTAATACGTTGATCGTTTTTGTAATAGCTGAATATTTAATTAAATTGTAGATAATATAGGAATTATTAATAATATTTAATCTGCAATCCATTATTTGTTCGCCTTCGTAATTATTATTAAGCAATTAGAATGTTAAACAGTTCCTGTATTGTTTCACGAAAGTTATCGAGCCATTTAATTCGAACAAAAGTGTAGTGCATATATTTGAATAAATTTGAATGTTTGTGTACATGTCGACAGCGAATGACTCTTTTCTCGTAGCGTTAATTTATTTAAAGCAGCATTTCGCAGGTACACGGTTACTCGTTTCGCATTACATCGTGTAACATTGATAGTCATTGTCCAAATGTGCAATTTATGTGTTTAAGTAATCCGAATGTATATTTAAGAAAATTATTACAGGTAGATTGGACCTCACGAATTGTATAATTTTCTTGCTCGTAGTTTTCGCGTTTTCCGAGAAACTTGTTTCTTAATTTCTTGAAATTATAGTCTCCAATATAATTTCATCAACTACAAACCTTCCTTAGTTTTTCGTAATGAAATTCATGAACGTTTGCGTGTAATCGTTATCGAACAAAACGGATTCGTGCAACAGCTGGATTACCTTGAACGCTCGAAATCTCTGAAAGTAACTGGATCTTCCACTTAAAATGCAGAAGCAGGCTGCCTGTGAATAGCAAAAAGTGATCTCGTGTTAAACAAAAAAAATTGCTGTTAAACGAGCGTCCGCCATTGAAAAGTTCTGATTACGAAACTGGACTATACAGGGTGTTCGGCCACCCCTGGGAAAAATTTTAATGGGGGATTCTAGAGGCCAAAATAAGACGAAAATCAAGAATATCAATTTGTTGATAGAGGCTTCGTTAAAAAGTTATTAACAATTAAATTAAAAAATTTCAAATCGTTCTGGAAAAATTATTTTCGATTGCGGGGGTCAATTACAATCATTTTTGGTGAATAGACATGCCCCCGAAATCCTAGCCACTCTCTAGAAAAAAATTTGAGAAGGTATGAAATTTTTCGACGGAAAAAAAAAAATTCAAATCGTTCTGGAAAAATTATTTTCGATTGTGGGGGTCAATTACAATCAATTTTGGTAAATAGACATAACCCCGAAATCCTGCGCATTTTCGAGAAAAAAATTCAGTACGGGCGGAACTTTAAACGTAAATAACTTTTTAACAAAGCCTCCATCAACAAATTGGTATTCTTGATTTTCGTCTTATTTTGGTCTCTACAATCCCCCATTAAACGAAATAACGAGCTATTTTTAAATTCAACGTTTACTAATTCACGCTCTGCTCGATAGGAAAAATTATATTTCATCGTTCAGCGATAATAACACGAGAAATAATTTTAGGTCGACGATCACAACACTCACGGTGCTAGAGATCGAGGTACTCAGAGGTTTAATTCTAAATCTCCGGAAGAACCGACACCCACATCGACCTTGAAATTCACAAGGTCCCAATCGACGCTAGACAGACCATCGCAATCGAAGAGGTCTTACATAGAGAGGCCCAGCGAAGGAACTAGTCCCAAGTCTACCGTCGACTCGAAAACGAAATTCGAATCGAACAAACGTTCGAACTCCCGAACGACGGGAACGACCGAGAGAAATGGATTCTCAGCGGTGACAGAAACGACGAACAGTTCGAGAAGGAGCTACTCGGGGAAACACGGTGCTGAATCGAAGAGGACGGAATCGATCAGCGGCAGAAGCGGCAAGAGATACTCCCCGGAGAACAGCGAAGCAACGAAATCAAAAACCGACGAGCAGAAAAGAACGTTCGCCAGACGGTTCAGCAATTCAGATGTTACCGAAAGATTGGACAACAAAGGACCGTCTGTTTTTACGGCAACCACGGAATTATCGCGATCTAGGACTGGGAGGAAGATTCAAACGACTTACACACCGAAGGATCTCAAGGCGCAGATACCCTCGGCCAGGAGATACAATAAGAAGCACGCGGACGTCGAGGCGACCACGGACGCGTTCAAAAGAACCGATGGGAGAGGCAGATCCACGACGGAAAAGACAGAACGAATCACCAGATCCGGTAGATCAAAAGCGAATAACAGGGAGAACAATGCTATTAATCGCAAGGGACAGGATACTCTTCTCTCGGAGTCCGAGAGCGTCAGAGTCGACATTCCTTTGGCAGTCGAAGGCACAGAGAACCCAATAGTGGATGTGACTGCTGGTTTTACCGCTTCCTCTCAGAGGCAGTTTCCTCCAGAGATCAACAGAAGATCGGATACCAAGGATTTATCCAGAACCAACGTACGCACGGGAACCGAGAGGTCGAAGAGTCGTGGACGATCGAACGATTCCGAGTCGTCCAGAAACGGCTCCCGAAGAGGAGCGTCCAAGTTCAACGATCACACGACCACCGAAGCGAGTGAGCAGACCGTTGGATCGAGACGAAACAGCGTTTCTAGAGATCGTTCGAGAGGAACGGACGCGAAGAAAGGTTCCGCGAACGAGTCGCGATCCAGATCGAGGGGTAGAAATTTGGACAGCATCGTGAAGCCCACCTCGACCACGTTCGAAAGGGACGTCAAACGGAAGTCGCCCGCGGGGGACAGAAATCCCCCGGAAAGGAGATCGAGGATCGCCGAGACCAACGCCAGAAGTTTTGAAAGCCGTGGACAGGATCAGGATGGGCGTGGGAGGCCTAGAAATAGATCCAGATTGGATTCTACGACGTCTGTTTCATTAGGTAAATAAAAGGATCTCTGGGTGTTTAAAATTGTCATATTTTTTCTTGGAGAATTGAACTAGCAATGTATAATACTATTATAAAACATGTCCCGACTACGAAATACTATGAGAAAAAAAAAATTTTCAAATCGTCCTAAAAAAATTATTTTTAACTAGGGGGGTTAATTACAATCATTTTTTGTCATTACACATACTCACGAAATTCTATGCACTTTCGAGAAAAAAATTCTTTACCGAAACTACAATGTCTGACTCTGACATTCCGATTCCCCTGAAATTTCAAAAAGTTTCTGATCATTCTGGAAAAATTATTTTCGGTTGCAGGGGTCAATTACAATCATTTTTGGTGAATAGACATACCCCCGAAATCCTACGCACTTTCGAGAAAAAAATTCTAGTAGGTGCTGAAATTTTCGGCGAAATTAAAAAATTTCAAATCGTTCTGAAAAAATTATTTTTAGCTACAGGGGCCAATTACAATCATTTTTGGTGAATAGACATATTCCCGAGTTCCTACGCGTTTTTGAGAAAAAAATTCCTTACCGAAAATAAAATTTCTATCTAGAAATGAGACTTTCTATATTAAAATTTGCCACAATTAGGTTAAGATCGAGTCGATATCAATTTCGATGTATATTAAACAATAATAAACGTAGAATTTAATTTTTCCTGACTTTACAACAGACGTTACTACCATCGCTGCACCAGACACGACAATTTCCAACGACGAGGTGTCTGTTTCTACCGAATCGGAAATTGCCAGCACTACTGTGAAGCCTGTAGCTTTGGCTACAACCGTAGGAAATGCAAGAATAGCAGCGACAACGGCGAGACCATCTTTAGCTACCACCGAGGGGCGAAACAGACGAAGAGGCAGAGGGGGGAATCAAGGCAGAGCCGAGCAGAAAGAAGATTTCTTCAATCATGGATTAGGGTTCAGGGGTCGAAAGCTTTTACCGGACGTGTCGCCGTACCTGGGCCCGTCGAAGAAGCCTGTACCGTCGCAAAACGACTCGCAATCGTATGGAAATCCCGGCTGGGCGCTCAGAAGGCGACCTGGTCACTCGAACAGCTCCGAGGTACCCCCTAAGACGTCGATCCCCTCCGCGAGGGATCAAACGAACGAAGTGATCCCGCCGAACGAGCAATCGACGAGCACCGAAACTGTAACGACCACGGTAGAAAGTTCCTCGACTACCACGAGAAGAGGCTTCAAGAAGCTACAGACAAACGCGGAAGAAAGTTCAACGACTGTTGGCATGACGACGAAGGGTTTTAGAAGGGGTAACAAGACACACGAGAAAAATAGAACTGGAGGATTTGGCAAGGCCGACGCGGAGGAAAGTGATAATTATCCGCCAGATTTTAAAGCAAGATTGTCTCAACTGGTAAGTTTTCGACTCTAATTATGCTCAAATTGCATCTGGTGATGGAGATAATTCAGTTTATACAGTTTGTTCCACGGTATTGAGATAAACTATAAGTCAAACTCACTTTAGCATGATTTTACAACGCTTAAAATATTAACTACAGATATGTCTAAGTCGGTATAGATTGTATTTAAAAAAGAAAGATATTATTCTATCCTTCGGTATGATTTCTACATCGTTAGAGTGTGTAACACTTTCTTCGAACGAAATCATATTGCTCTAAATTTTTCAACGGTTGCATAATTTTGTTCAGGCTTGCGTAACACGTCCTGAGACTTTCGTGCGGCTATGCAAATTGACCGGGAGTTAGTGAAAGAAAATTAGATAGTTCTCGATCCTTCGTGGGATAAATCTCATTTCGGTGGACCATCCTGTATAAATGTATAAAATACTTCCAAATATTTTGACAAATAAGATTGACGTATCAACGACTGGCACGAGTTATTATATACTTTGCATTTAAGATATTTCTCAGCTTTGTTATTTTTAATGAAATAATTCGTCAATTTTCACTGCAGATATTTGCATTCAAAAATAGTAATTAACGTTTATACGACAATACCGGTCGATAAAATGTTAATGGAAGTATTTTTGCATCCACTAACAAGGAAGTATGATTTCAGAAGAATACGAACACGAAAATACCAGCCCCGAAAACTACCTCCAGAACACCTTTGGAGGTAAGAGTTCCGAGCGCTCGTAAAAATCAGCTTACAGCGTCCGAATGAGTTTTCTCTATCTATTATTAATGACTGTAACAATCTCTATGCTTCTATTTCTAGTTCAAGAATTTTTGGCTTTACATTTAATTGGTACTTAATACGTAGACGTAATCACTGACGTTTGTTGACATCGTTGTCGTAAATTAGATTGAGAATGGTACAGTAACTGTTGGACACGAAACACATACTCGACAGGAATGAACCTTTATACGTACAAGATCGCCTAACACTAAACAATTTAATCAGCATGCCAGTAACAAAACACATTTACAAATTTACCCTTTGGGCGAAGCTGTTTCTAATGGCTCGAAAGAGACCCTGGAATCATTTCTATCGTTCAAGAACTTAGCACTTTGCGATTTTGAAGTCGTTACGATTCGTGTAGGGTCAGCTGAAGAATATGTTTGGTCGACGTTCGAGGACCAACTCGAAGACGTTCGAGCTCGATGACCTCGATACCGCAGCTTCAGGAAATATTTTGACGAATCAAAGTTTAATCGTGAATCCGTTAACGTTGATAAATGGCACAGGATTGCGACGCGTAAGAGTACAGACAATCTTTGTATCGCGTGATCGCTTCTCTCTACCTATTTCCTATCTCCGATGCGTAGATTGAGCTATCCTCGAGCTTTTAGGAAGAACCGAACTCACGTTGCTCGGCTCTTAGTGGCTTTCAATCATGTTTTCCTCGATCAATTCCGGCTGAAGTGCTTGGTCTTTGCTCTCTTCTTTCGTTTAAATACAAGTCAATTAAACTGTAAATGCATTACGGATAAATGTTATCACGATAGTAAATATCATTACAAACGATCAGAAAATATCAATTTCTTCATGGAAAAAAAACATTACTTCCTTTCAGAATTCATCTTAAATCGTGATCAGAGAAAAATATTGACGTTGATTTTTAAAACGTTGGTAAATTGGGTGAAGGATCATACACTTTACGTATCGTAAAGGTAGCTGTTGCTTGTAACATCATTGACGACCAATCGTGACTGGACAATGATGCGCGATTAACAAACATAGAAGGAAACTATAGTCGATCTCAGTGTTGGTTGTAAACATGTATTTTTTATGAAAGCGTGCAAGTTCGATGATCAACGAACAGTCAAAGAACAGGTAAGACAAATTTATAGTGATTATAAATTACAAAGGTTCTTTATGCTCGTTGATCATTGGAACTTGCACAGTTCGTTGAAAAATACATTTCTCCATCCAACAGTGAGATTTGCTTATTGTTTTTTACGCATTCGCAAGCATTCTGTTTGTGTTGATAGATAAGAGTGCTGGACGGAGAAAAAAGGCTTATTTGGTGATTGGTAAATTGTGAAATGGACATTGTTCCGGACGATCCGATGAATCGAGAGCTTACGATTCGAGATCTGGGGCACGTCATTGTGATCAGCAGCTTCGATGATATCGTCGACCTCCAAATACGACTGGATCGAACGATATCCTAACACGAGGACCGACGAATCCTCGACAAGGAGTTATCTCAAGGTCCGGAATAGGATATCCGTGAATTTTTTTTTTTTTTTTTTTTTTTTTTTTGGAAAAATTCCACGCGTCGCCGAACGTTACGTTTATCGTGGAATCGGTGTGTTTCACTTATCGAGGAGCCCCAGTTACGGGGCCTCGCGCGTAAGACGCAGTTTGCAAACTGGTTTTTGGTTCCCGTTCGATTGCTTTTGTTTTGGAATCTCAGCGGAGAAAGCGAAGGTTCGTTTGACCTACCTGAACGTAATATGTTCCGATTTGTTCTCACCGAGCAACTGTATCGTTTTAATGCCTGGCTTTTCTCGAGCGTTCAGTTTAAAATGTCCTCTAAGTCAGTGTTTGGAAAGTCAAATTTCTCTAAAACAAAATCTTCTTTGGAAATAAATGCAAGTTTAGACTTTTCCTTTTGTGGAATGTTTCTTTTGTATCTTGAAGGATAGGAAGTCCTGTTGGTTCTTAAATTATATTTCTGTCAGATGTGTTTGACTATTTTAACTTCAGAGTGTAGCATACATGGGTTAGGAGGTATTGGAATTAATTTCGAACGAAGCTTCTTATAAATTAAACGATACAAGTTTAATGGCTCGATCGTTCGAAATGAGAATCTTCGTGACGAAAGATAGCTGTAAGGAAATTCGATGGAAAGGAAATGAAAGGAAAAAGAAAGTCGATTTTTCACAGATCGAACGGATGGTCTATCTCGAGAGGGGACATATTTTATCTTCGTTCCATATTACGTAGAAACGAGTGGCTTTCCGCCTTGTAATTACATCGAGATTAGTTTCGTGGCAAGAATCCTTTTCTTTTTCGATAAGGATTGCGAGCGAAGACGTAGGACGAAAAAATTAACTGAACTGGGTTGCTATTAAGTCGTCTAATAAGCTTCTCCAGCATACAATAATACGTTTCTTTAGATGATAGATTTTGTTGATTAGTTTCGAAAAATACTAGTATTTTTAAACAACGCTAAACCTCACGTTATGAAGAAAATTTTACGAAAACTAACTAAATTGCAGTGACATTAAGAAACGAAAAATTGATTTTTGTTTCTGTAATTTTTGCATGGACTGTAATAGGAACAGTATTCCAGAGCAAAGCGACAGATTTAGAAGGTGTTTTCGTTAAGGTCATTACATATTCCACTGATTGGTACAGGCACGAACGCTATGCGACGTGAAATCAGCAAAACTGGTTCCCTTTCGCCCTGGAATCGATTTGCCACGAAGTAGAAAAGAAAAGATGTTATCACAGCTGTCTCTCTCTCTCTCTCTCTCTCTATAAAATTTAATTATGTCACCTCCTCACCGCAGCTAATCGCTTGATCGACGCTAACGAAGACTGTCGAATGAGTCGAACACGATATATAATCTTTTTTTTTTACTTGATACGGGAAGGCTGGATAGTCTCACAGTAGAATAACCATTGTAGTACGATTAATGGAGAACGCTTCAGCAGCCTCGAGCTTGTCACGTCGATTAGTAATTATTATGTCACTCTGCCTCCCGTGGATCGTTCGCATCGTCGTACACGATTCTTCATCCGAGGTTCTCGCGTCTGATAACAATGATTAAAAATTTCAGTTGTTGTCCGCCACAGTGAAATCATGGCTGGGGCTCGTTACGAGCCAAATGGCAGCGTGGATCGTCTCGTTTCTGCGGTTCCTCAGGCTTCTATTCGTCATGTAGGAAAAACTCGTCGTCGCGATATGTCTCCCCGTAATCAAAGTACTGTTACCCGTTGCTCGACGTGTCGTGAGTGTAAGATTTACGAGCGACCTTGAGAACGTCTCCTCCTGTCGACGGAAATCTCGTCGAGACCGTGCCGCACTAACAGTGTCCCCGCTCGAGCTTCCGGAGCCGGCTTTAGTCTCGTCGGTGGTTTCCCACTGTCCTAAAACGGAGCTGTTTGAACGACCCTTTCAGGTGAAAAGAACGTCCGCCGCTCTGTTCGCCGAAAGATCGAAGATGAAGCTGGATCTGGCTAGGAGGTTAGTGAAGCCAGAGTTGAACATCGAGGAGAACGATCTCGACGCAACCACGGCCTCCTCTTTCAGCAAATCGAAACCAGCGACCGGCAAACCGTCGATCGCCGGGACGAGCAAGGTCGCCAAGTTCACCAAGCCGGGCGCGAACGAGCGCAGACATTCGATCGAGAACTCGCGGGAGGACTCGAAACTTTCCAGACTGAGGAAAGGTCTCGAGGACCCGTCCAAGGTTACCATCAGACCGTTCACCTCGAAGAAAGGACGAATAATATCCGAGAGAATGGTCACTTCGATCTCGATCGAAGAGAAAGTGGAGGACGCCACGAAACCGTACGGGACCACGGATCCATCTGTCATCACCGTGTCCTCGGAAGAGGCGTCGGCGACTACCCTCGACTCGACGAGGATACGCCCCGGTTCTCGCAAGAAGTCCAAAGAAGAAGCGTCTCGCGAGAACAGCAGCGATTCCGTTACCACTATTAAACCGAAGAAATCGAGTAAACAAAACTATGCCCATCAGCCGCGTAATAGAAAGACGCACGACAGTCCCGTGACCCCGACCGAAAGAACGTCGAAGGAATCGCAAGAGGAAAACGTTATTCAGAAATCGAAATTTAGCAATGGCGTTACCAAACCGAGCTTTCGACCACGTTACAGTAAGAGGACGAAGGACAACTCGTTAGAGGATAAGACAACGGAAGTGGCCGGTACCACGAGGCTACCGGCTGCTACCAGCAGATACTCCAGAAAGAAGGCGGTGGTGAAGTCTGTGGAAAGCGTGCAGAAAAGCACATCAGAGGGACCAGTGATGCAGACGAGGAAGGTCGAGTTTAGGCCAAGGACCGCGACCTACAGAAGACATTCTGAGGTCCCTACGACCTTGGTCGAATCCACCACCAAGATAGACGGCGCTGGAGTCGCCATCACTCCTCGATCGCAGAGGTACCACTCCAGTTTGAAGTCCACGTCGCCGTCCCCTCGATCGGTACCGCAGGAACCACAGGTGAATCTGCAGATAGCGAACGACACCGTGCAGCAAACGCCAGGAATTACCGGCAGCAGCAACGGCGACAGCGGCAACACGAACGTCTTCAGCCCCACCAGAAGCGCGTTTATAACCGGAAACGCGACGCTGCTGGAGCAACTGAGAAGCACCGTGGCGCCGCTGTTGAGCTCACTCGGTAACAAGACGCCCGTATTTTCTGGCTCCTACAGCAATGTCAACAACGCGGTAATTATTCATCGTTACACATTTTTTATCTTTAATAATTAATCGTCATCTGCTTATTAGACTCTCCTTAGAATTTAATTAATTCAATGCAGGCATGTCGTATGTTTCAAGCGTTTTTGTGATATTGCAGTTATACGGGACTATAACGATACGAGCAATATTGCGTTGAAAATATTTTAAAAACATTCTAACAATATTATAGAGCAAATATTACTTGGAATTTTTCTTTAAATTTAAATTTAATTTTAAAATTATTTTATTTCGCTCCATAAGGGATAATCTGACTTTTATAGAAAATTTAAGTTTTTGAACAAACACTGCCCTTTTTCAATCGATATTATCATCAACATTATTTATTCTTCTGTTGAAGTTTGCAGTAAATAAAAAAATATTTGCACTCTCGAGAAATTTTATGATTCACGCGACAAAATTACTAGAATCATAACAATGCTTTATTTAGAAAAAGCTGAAAGATACAGTCGGAGTTTAGGAAGTTAATTTTAATTTTAACTTTAAAATTTTAAGTGTTAGAGTTGACTGAATTTTATTCGTTTTGTTTGATGTAGATCGCATAGTATAATGTTACTTGTCAACTTTAACACTTAATTTCTAAATAATCGTCGATGTCGTTTGTGAACAGAATTCAGCCCCCAGAATCACGCCAAGCGGAGGGCCGCCGCGTTTTAGCGCGAGATACAAAGGCGCGGAATTGTTTATCAGAAAGCAGAATAATATTTATCAGCCCACCGTGCCATCGATCACTAGTTCGTCCACCACGCCAGTCACACCCGTAGAGGTAAGATTGTTCCAACATTTTCAAAGGGATTTTAATCGTTAAGTTCAGCAATCGGTTTCTAAGAATTACGCAAGAGTATTATTATAATTAATAAGCCTTAAAATGTTCGATCATTTGTGAATCAATGGGCGGCTAATTCATAACTCATCGAGGCAAAAAATTGGCAAATAGATTGTCAGTTTCTCTGTAAACAACCAATGATCAGCAGGATTAAAGTTTCCTACGTATGTATTTGAACGTTCGATGGTGTAATTTCATTTAGGCAGAATGTAAGTTTTCTATTAAGGAAGAAACTTTTAAGACGTGATTTAGAGAATTAAAACCTCGTATCGGTAATGAAGACTGAAAAATAGATGTGTCGATCGTTGATTCGTTTCGCGAAATAATTACTAAAAATTCCGAGATGTCGTGCATGAAAGAAATGGATCGTGGAAACGGTTACGGAGGTAAGGTTACGTGGCTGAAGAAAGTCGAAGCTAACAGTAAGTCAGTGTGGTCGTTTTTTGTGTGCTTAAAAGGTTTTCACCACGAAGATATCCGAGGAGATCGAAGCCGTTGCGCCACCATCGTGGACCGATCACACTGTTGGTGTCGTCACAACTACATCCGGAAATCTCGATTCTAACGACATCGATACAAATACTCTGCGTTGAATCAAATATTTCAATAATATTTCGACAAATGTGCTACTAATTATTAACCTTGTTTCTTTCTACCAATATTTTAGTGATTAGCCGTTCCTGAAGGATTACTTTACCGTTTTTCTTTCTTTTTTTTTTTTTCGAAAAATTTTACGTGTACCATGTGTATAATTTCCAAAGGTTTTTCATTAATTTCGCAGCAAATTATTGTTACACTCTTGACATTGACACAAGCATTGGTCGCGCAGAAAAACTGAGCATCGAGAATAATTCTTGTACAAGAAACAGATTTTGTCACAGTTCCACAGTCGAAAAAAAAAGATTATAAATAACACACGAAAAAAATGAATAAAAAAAAGCGCCACTAATAATTTGTGATTAACGTTAACGCCTAGTTTGTGATCCGTGGTATTTTCAGTTTGGGTTCGCATATACTAATGTGTACAGCTACTTACGTTCTTACTATCGTCATAATACATATACTGTATTATACAAGATTATATACGATTTTGGTAATAAATGTACTGGTTTTTGGGACATGGGGTTGTTCGTTCTTATTTAAACGCGTCCATGAATATTTTATAGACGAGCTAGCCAATCTTTCATGCGAATCTGATTTTAGAAGCGCTTTCAAGATGTTATAATATTTATTTGTATCATTAAACACGAAATTTTCACTTGTTAAGTATATCATAAGTCGGTTCGTTCATTTGATATATGTTTGTGTTGTTAATAATGTCTATGAACTTGTGAAAATTAAATAAAACGTAACGTGACCATGCCAGAATGAGATTAATTTTTATTTAAATTTTACGCAACGAGACTTTACTTTCTAGTAGAGGCGCATTCCGATTGCACAGGTACATTTTCGTGATCCATTCGTTTTACGGTGTTCCAGGGCGGCAACGAGTGAAAGTAAATGGATGCCGCGTAATGTGTGTCCATTAAGACCGTGTTGAAGTTATCTGGGACATGTGGGTGGATCTAGATCGATACAAATACATCAGGAAAAGCGTGTAATTTAAGGTCACAAATGTATCTGTGACGATGCGGCCTCGACCTATTTTTCACAGACGAATTTTTTTCTCTTAAAGTTAAAAGCGTTCACGCTGATACACTTTCCGTGGGAATGTTGCAGTTCGATCTCACACACGTGCAAATACTTCCTAGTATATTAACTCTTGTAAATTAAATTTCTCATCGACCGACAAATAATTAAGATCGTCGTCGTCATAAATCACGTTCACATGTTTTTCTAATTCCATCTTATGAAACCTATCGCTGGAGACCTCTGTGAGAGAGGATTAATAGCTGTGAGAAATCCCGATTAAAATAAAAAAATCGAAGTGAGCGGCAACCAGTCTCTATTGCCCGTATCAACGATCCCTCGCTCGAGGAACGAGTTTCTAACTCGCTGCTACTTTGCTTGTTACCAGTATTCCTTGGTATATTAAAACAGCCTCGGTTTCTCCTCTTCTTAGGTAGTTCGTATCTCCACCAAGAGATGGTGTACGCTCACTCGATCACGGGTTCAATTAGTCGCCGTGGGGGGATCAATTAAATTAACGCGTAATCGCGTAAAAGTAATTTACGCCTCTGATCTATTCATGGAAGGGTTTTCATGCCGTTAAATGGCAAGAACGAACACCACGTATCGTACGATCGATTGTATTAGTGTACATACACACTGATTAGAGGATGTTGCTGCACCGACGACTTAGAAACTGTACATAAGATAAGATCACGTATTCCGACCACATGGCACTTGTTCGATGTATAGCACCCTGCACGCACTAAATTTCTGATTCTAGAATTCCGGCTCGGCACCACCGATCGACGTCTCGAGCCCTGGCGAGCCTCGATTCTTCACCATTTACCAGGCGTTGGAGTCGGCTAGCATCAAGAACGAACAGTTACTAGGAAACGCAAGCGTACAGGGAGAACAGCAAGTTGGCAGGGTCCCTCAGGTAGACTTTAACGCCACTGTCGCTAACGGAACCAGCAACAATTCTAACAATGACACTACAAGCCCGACCATGAGCCCACAGACCCCAGACACAACCACTATTCAGGATATCACATTGATCCCGAGATTATCCGAGGAAACGGAGAACTCCACCTCCGTGGTTAATACAGGGGCCCCCGAAAACCTTTCGACGGAGAACTCCACCCCCATGGTTACCACTGGAGCCCCCGAAAACCCACCAGCGACCGAACAAGCCTCCACGAGCACAGAATCACCCTCCACTACCGAACAAGTATCCACCAGCACTGTATCATCCTCCAGTACTGAACAGGTCACCACAAGTACAGAATCATCCTCCAGTACCGAACAGGTTACCACAAGTACAGAATCATCCTCCACTACCGAACTGGTATCCACCAGTACGGAATCATCATCCACTACCGAACAGACCTCCACAAACGCCGATTCAGCGTCCATGCCCGAACAAGCCAGTACAGAATCACTCCCACGTAACACAGATACGACAACAACAGCCGCCGGAACTTCGAATTCCGTTGCAGAAACGACCACCGTTCCAGCGAATCAGAATCTTGGATCGACCACGACCGCCACCACAGATATTCCAGCTGTTACCAGCGCGGTGCCTGAAAGTAGTTCCGATTTGTACGGCAGCGTTCCACAGACCACCACCACGGATGGTGCAAACATTAATACAACCGAGAGTCCGGAGACTAATACTATACAATCGTCGGATGTAACTTCGACGCAAGCAGCGGACGCTAGTTCGGCAGCTGCCACTACGACTGAATCGGAATCGAATAATATCATCGATGCAGAGACAACCACGACAACGCCTATAGCTACGTCCACGTTGAAGAGTAGACTGATAGACTTTGCACAGGATATTTTGTCTCGTCTGCAAGCGTCTTTGAACACAACTACTGTACCAAGTCAGGATATCACGACGACGATATTCCCGGAGAACGAGATATCGAACGTGATATTGGACTCGAACAGGAAGAGTACTTTGGAGGTTCTCGCGCAGTTGAACAGGGTGGAAACGACGACTGGTCAGGGGGAAATGGGAACGACCACGACCATGTCGCCGGTTACGATGGATCAGCCCGGTTTGACAACAACCGAAGGAATGACTACACAAAGCGCAGTAGGTTCAGTTAGTACTACGTTACCTACGACTGCGACCGATCAATCTAATGCAGTCGTAACCACTCAAGAAGACAGCATGCAGGACGACATAAACCTAGTCACAACCACTACAGCACCAACAACAACACAAGATTCTCAAACAGTTTCGAACAGCGATTCAAACAATTTTACAAATCTCCCGTTAGACGTTGAAGTAACTACCGCTTCGACGGTTACTTCTACCAATGACACTTTACTAACAGAATTAATGTCCATCGCCAAGACGCTTCTCTCGGAAGAAATAAGCGATAACGAGGAATCAGTGTCTGCTCAAAACTCAAACAACACTTCTAGTTTAACGAACGACGTATTAGACACGACTCAGGCTGCAGAATCATCGTCGATCCCCCCAGATGTTACGACAGAATCCGTAGAGTCAACATCGACCACTGTAGCAATGCCAGAATTAACTACTTCCTCCGACGATCCTTCCCAGAACGAGGTGGATTCCGTAGACTTCACAACGACTGGTTCACCTTCAGAAAGCTCTTCCGACACGCCCACTACAACCCTCCAAAGCAATGTAGTAGACAACGAGGCAGAAGTTGCGCAAACAAATCAAACCACATCGTTAGGACCCCTTGTCGATACCGTAGAATCAACCACCCCCTCGATTACGACAGAAACTGAGACACGAGCGACTATCTCGAGTAGAATTTTATCCGATATCGAAACGGGCCTCGACACAACAACACAATCTCAGACAACTACACCAAGTACAATAATGACAGTCACGCCTACGGAGAATCTTGAACTAACCACTAACAGCGACGATTTAGCATCGAACTCGATGACCACGACCGAGACTCGAACGTCTTCTGGACAAACCACAGAAGCAGTCACCGAATCTACAGAAACCGCAGCACAACTAACTAATCTCACAATAGTAACGTCACAGCCTGTGATGGACACTAGCACTAATCAACCCGAAGCATCTACGACGATCACGGTCCCTGAAACTATCCCTTCCTCTGTAAATACGATGACCACGCCGTCAGCATCCTCCGAATCGAACGTTGAACAAACCACGGTGGTGCCCGATACAGAATTAGTTGAGAATGTAACGAGTAACGTAGACGTTGAGACTAACCAAAAACTAGAGTTGGAGTTAACGCCAACGACTACAGAAACGATTGGCGACGAAGCGACCACGCCAACGATTACAACCACGGCGCCGCTGGATGTTAATTCAACGGATGTCACTGAGGCTACTACTAACCAGTCCCCTCTAACAACCATCACAGAGCCCACAATGGATATAACTACTAACACGCCCGGTGAAACGACAATCATCCCCCAAACGACCCCAAACCCTGAGAACGAAACTCCAACTGTTGTTGCCCGTTTCCAGGATACAACATCAGCAACCGCCCAAGGGACGGCAGGTTCGGGAATCGGCCAAACGACCGAGATCACATCCTCCCCTGTCACAGAATCCTCTGCCGTTTCATCCACCGAGTCCCCCACTTCTTCTAGTCCCGATTCTTCTCTCATTACAACCACATCATCTTCGGTCGAGACAACGACAACGACGACAACTACGACCGCGACAATGACGACGACCTCGACGACCACTGGACGCCCTTCTGACGGGGGGACATCAACGCCTCAAACGACGACAATGCCAACGAGAACGGACGTCGTCACTGTGATGGCGGTGACCGAGACAACGGTTCCCATGCAGACCACCACCGTCGATATAAACGAGAATCTCGTGTCCACCGAAGCTTCCACCAACGCTCCGGGGACCACTGTTTCGACGAACGCTGGAGGAAGTGCAGTGAACGCATCAGGTAGTGCAACGACTACGCAAGCAACGCCTGGGATGACGATGCCCACGAGACCTTTGAGCGGTCAGATCGCTCAGGCTCCCACGACACCGTACTTAGGTCGATTCGGAGGCAGCAGACTGACGCCAGCTCCACGCTTCAGTCCAAGCTCTAGCACCAGAGCGCCTCTGAGAGATTACTTGATCTATGGAATTTATCCTAACAAAACGATCGTTAGGAAGCGACCGGAGGACAACCTGATCGACGCCAGGAACGTGGACAGCCCGTACGTGGTATTCGGTATCTTCCCGGACGGCAGGCTGGTCCGGAAGTTCCCGAACGGGACGATAATACCGGATCCACCTAGGAACCCGGTCGAGGTTGTGTTCTCACTTAGCACTTCCACTACCACTAACAGGCCACCACCCAGACCGTATTATAACCAGGTTAACCAAGGCACTTACAATCAGTATCGAGGCCCCGGCAGCGTTAATCTTGGCCTTTCTGGTAACGCGATCGTCGGCCCCAATGGAGGTGGACCCGGTTTCACGGGACCACTTGGTACCCCTGCTAGCGTCCCGAGCACCAACGAAATGGTATCTCTTATTCCACCTGTTCATCATCGATCGTTAGCCCGGTCTCGTGTTCGAGAACGGATTTCTCGACGTGTTTTTCTCCGTTTAGTCACTTTGGATCTTTCAACTGTGTCATTGTTGCATGAAAAGTCAGAGGTTCGTTTGGTCGGAATTATTTTGGAACGTCTTAATTCGAACATTTGGAATATCTTCGTTGGTGAAAGCAAGCGAAGAGAGAAGATTATTATGAGATTTTAAGGTCATCGTTATTTTTTAACAACGTATTATCAGTAACGTAGTGATGTAACCAAGATCGAATTTAGTCATGCAAGATATAGAGACGTTTAAATAATCTTGAACGGGACAAGTCACGTTTGCACGATTCTCAAATTAGAGAAAATATTTTATATACGTGTAGATTCTATATTGTTATATCGAGTTTTATGCTCACAATGACACAGCCCACTTGCCTCTTGTTTAACGCTTTGGTTTCGTTGAAGTAGTTTCTTTGGTACCGTAATAAACTAATTTTCCAATGTCGTGATCATTAATTGTATCGAACGAGTTCTCGTAGTAACTTTCACGGCATATTTGCAAGATCGTTTTCCTTTTTCATTTTTTCTTCTACGCGATTCTAAGTAGATTCAACATCGACATAAGAATTTATCAAATGCCCACTTGAACGCAACAGGTGATTGTACATAATTTTATTGTAAATGTGTAAATAATTTGTTCTATGTGTGTCGCATATTTTTTTGTCTTTATGCACCGTGCACATCGAAACGCACCTAGTTTTTGGTCAAATTTGTTGTTTCACGTTATCTTTCAAGATTTTGATTATACATTTACATTTGAATTCTGCATTTCAAGCTTACCAGATCATACATCGGCCACATGAACAAGACAAAATGGAGCGAATAGTATACTGTATAAGTGGTATTCGATAAACTCTTGGAAATAGGATTTGATAAATCATCGTGATTCGTCATCCCGCCCCGACGACCGATATCTCGTGACCCGCCGAGCACAGCGAAACTTTGATTCACTGTTCTTTATTTAGTTTTCTAAATTTTCAGTATCAAAATATTAGCGTTTGATAACTCAGAGATAGATTAAAATGAAAAATTAAGAGGTTAAAATGGTAGTTTTGGGAATGTATTAAATTGATAAGAACTTTGATTTTTATTTGTTTTATCTGATCGAAATTCGGAATATTTGCAACAAAAGTTTCGTTTTAACTATTCTGCCGGAAGTCGTTGAAAACCATAACCGTTTCAACCCCCGTTCAGAGCAATGGATCAAATTTTCGCTGGACAATAATTTCAAGCATCGTATTGTTGCAGCGTAATAAAAATTTGACGCACGTTTGAAAAACTCGAATCGTTTGGTACTGTTTAGAGCAATAACCCGTTGAATACGCAAATGGGGACACCGTCGAGTGCAATGTCTGCGATTCCCGGTCTGCTGACGCCGACAGTAAGTACCGGTCGACCGCCGACCGATTCGCAGGGCGGTCGTATCGTCCAAGATCGAGAGAGGGACGAGGCCACCAGGACGAAAGAGGCCGGAGGTCAACGCAGCTCCGTGTACATCGGACAGGTAAGAAAGCAAGAGAGACAGAACATGATTTACAACGACGCTGTGGCTGATTCTTTCAGCGCTCCAACGTATCTCTCGTAAAGAGAGAGAAAAAAAAAGAACAAAGAGACAATGTCGTATCTTTCAGGACAAGTTCGTCAACTATTGGACCGATGGGGCGCCCGCCACTAACCCCCGCGTTGTCAGTGTAAATATAAATTCAGTAGCTGTAAGTACAAACGAAGAGAAAAGTACCACTTCGTAAAACAGAACAGATTCGGGACGGTTGTTAATTTTTCGTTTTTCCAAGAGTACTCGGTTCGACCAACGTTGCATAGGCGGAAGTATCAATATTGTCGTATATCCTCTCGCATTTGAGGCACGGGAGACTCGAGTTTCGCGTTCGTGCCATTCGTTGTGTTTGAGTAATTGCGACGTAATGACAATGGCCGCGCGAGAATTCATTGCCCTGTTAAACAGTCGCAACCAGTCGTCGACTGTGCTAACAAGGAAATGTCGAGACTTACTGCGCTCGCTATTGCGTCAGGATTTACATGCAAGGGTATTTTTGGTCGGAGGCACACCGATCTCCGCCAGTTGGTAACAATGTTACTTCTCGTTTTTACGAGACGGTCCATTTATAACCACGTCACAAACGATAGCCGACTATAACGATAATTATTCTTGTATTCTACGAAAGACCTTCCGTGGTTTAGCCGAAAACTCTTGGATCGTACAATTTTATTAATTATAAAAAGGAAGCCAAAGTTGAAAAAATTAAGATATTTTCGTAATTAGGCGAAGGCAATGTTGTCCCTTTGCGATTATAAAGTACATATTTCTATAACTCAGTCCGCTGCCAATGAGGGACCATCGTCGTCCGTACCATCTTTCGAGAATCTCTTGAACAATCAGCCATCAGGTCGAGTCACAGCCCCGCCTGGATTTCCGTGGAGGGATCCGTTGGATCAGATCTTTGGAATTACCACCTCCTCTCCGGTGATAACAGCTTCGGTCGCTTCGAACACTCTGGTTCGTATTCGTCGAGTTGCTCGCTTGGAAGTTCTCGTTGCAAACTCTGTTAAATTTGGGTGTACGAATTTTTGATTCAGGACGATCCGGCAGAGGCAAATGGCTCGTTCCCTCCACGTCCGATCAATCCATTCGTCGAAGTCTTCACTCCGTTCTCTAGCGTGATTGGCACCCCAAACACAGTGTCTTCTACTCCACCAGCAGCTAATGTTGCTCCAACAACGATGCCACCTCCTACAACTACGACACCTGCACCCACAACTACTCCTCCTCCTACTACTACTACACCAACAACTACAACAACTACAACCACAACAACTACGACTACATTGGCTCCAACAACAACAACAACTACATCCACCACCCCACGGCCTGCAACGACTGCTCCAGCAACGCAAACAACAGCAACTGCTTCTCAAACCACAGCTAGTCCCTCGTCTGCAACGACTCCGTCTAGCCAATCGAACAATTTGGTCACGAATACGCAGCAACAGAACGCGTTTGGCACAACGTTCGACGACTTGGCCTTTTTGAATTCATTGGTGAGTCAAGTGAAAATTTAAAAAAATTATTTTACTAACGCTTAGTTCGGACTATTATCTTATTTCAAGCAAATGTCTCCAACAACTATTTCTACTAAGCATCTTTTAAATCTTGAAAGATTATTCGCTGCTTTTAAACAAACAATTTGTTACTTATTGTTAGCAGTAAAGATACCTTGCGTTTCATGGTGGAACGAATTTAAACTACCTGCATAGTTTTATTGAACGAGCAAACAAATTTGTGCAGCATAAATTATAACCCCTTCGTTAAAATGACAGTCACGCTGTTTTTGTCGGTTTCGATTAATGCAGATTTTTCTGGGATCATTTTTTTGCAGTTGCAGGGTTCCTACAGAAGTAGCACGCCCAAAACACTCACGCAGGTCGAGCAGCTTTTAGCAAACAAGGTATATATCTATGATGCTGTTCAATAAAACGTTACGAGAACTCGAAAAGCGAGAATCTTGCTGAATTAACAATAAATGTGATTATCGTTTGGTCCGCGACGCGAAAAGCGAGAAACGGAGTCGATACGAGGCGTTAAACATTCCTTTCACTTCTTTGCACCACTGTGCAACGAACTGCATTTTACTAGAGCCAGTGTCAGTATTGCAGGAGCCGGTGTTGCTTTTCCAGCGCTCCTTTCTCGTGTTTCTGTGTGGTACGAATAAAATGTCTGAGTCACGCGAGAAGAAAAATTCGGTGGAGATCGGAGATTATCTTTAGTCACGCCCTTCTAAGAAAGACATAATGACGGATCTGCGACGATCGCAATCATATGATCGGCCAGTCACGGTGAATGGACTGGAACAGCCTTGCCAACGGCCTTCTCTATTCCACGCAACGGTTGTCTGATATGTCTTCTTTCGATAACATTTACATTGTTAGAATTTAATTCGCGCGTGTACATGGCATTAAAGCAGCCGCGATATGTACATTTGCGTCCTGATCGGGCGATAAGCCTGCATATCCAATCCAGTTCTTCGGTTTCGCTTCGTATCGGTATACAAAGTTACGCTATTTTAACCCGTAACTGGTATCGTGTGTCAAACAAGCGTGTCAAAAATAAATACATATTTATATTCTATAAATCTTCTTTAGATTTTGTCGTTGGCGCTGAACAAACAAGGACCAACTCGAGCGCCAAAGGCCATCAACGTCGAGAGTGCATCGCCAAACTCGATCGTCCAGTCCTCGCCAAGGTCCCCGTACGAGCCAATAGTGATCGATCTATCTCCATCGTCAACGGCAGCAGCTCCCACGTGGAACAAAGCAACGCAGCAGCAAACCACCGAGAACTCAGTTAATAATTTGGTATCCCAGCAAGTAACTTGGAAGCCAGTTTCGACCACCACCACGAAAAGAACTGTGGAATCGAGCACAGCTACTTCACCGGCAGTTAAAACGACTCTGATAAGCACGACCAAAGCTCCGGTGGTTAACACAATCAAACCGGTGACAACTCCAAGACCAAGGACTACTACTCAAGCGCCACTAGGTTTCGGCGCCAGCCTCTGGCAGGCTTTGTTCGGCGGTGGGTTGTTCGCACCACCGCCCACTCCGAAGCCTGCGAAACCGAAACAAGCGAAAACCTTGCAAAAATCTGTCAGCATCACTCCGAAGCCTGTTCAAACGACGCAAAAGTTAGAAACCACTAAAGCAGTTCCGTCCACCACGACCTTCCGAAGCGTGGACATTTCGAAGATCGAAGTGAACACTCCCAGTTCCGTTGCAAGAATTACAAAATCGACTACACCCAGCTCGATATCCACTACTAAACTCTCGTTGCTGAACAATCCAAATCCGAGGTTGCCCAACGTTGAGATGTCGTCGTTCACCTCCGAAGACGACGCGAAGTTCTTGCTTAAATTGCTGCGCGTTGCTCAGGAGGGTAAGTGAACTTAATAGTTTCTTTGTCCACATCTACGATACAATCTATGATCTAATCTAACGATCTAATCGACCAGAGTCTTCCGAGGGTTGATTCTATATCGAGTAGAAATGGAAAAATTATTAAAATATTTTGTGATTTATTCACCGAGACTGTCGTGTGCTGTATCGTGGGTCTCCTTGTATTCGTTGCAGAAAATAAAGCCAGTGCCTCGAAAACGTCATCTGGCTTGAGTAAAGACGATGAATCTTTCTTAAGAGCGATATTAAGCGGACGATCTCTCACGACAACCCCCGCCCCGTCAACCGAAATCAATAATGCTGCCTTGTTGGCGGCGTTGTTAAAGGCTCAAGGCATAGAACCGCCGACTCCTTCGACAAACATTAGAGAACAACTACTGTTAGCCGTGAGTACTGCTCGTATCGACGCAATTGACTGCTGCAATTCACTTAACAAAGCAGTCGATGGGACAGAGTTAACAAAAATAGATGGAACGCTTTTAAATATTTTTAGTAACCAGACTCAACAAAGCCTGAAGCTTCCATTTACTTTTCAACATTATGAAAATTTCTGTCGCTTCCAAATTCACCGGTAACAACAAACTCTCATTTTCACCATTACGCTACCGAATTTCATTTGCATTTCTTTTCAACCGTTAGATCATACATTGCACTTTCTCCGGGAGCTTCCGTGCAGCTCTGTGGAGGTACGTGTCGTGAAACGCAATTTTATGGAACGCAGTACCTTTTAAATAATATTCGATCGGTTATTGGTACGCGTTGCACGTATCGCGGGTCTTAAAAGGTGCTTAATCAAGCCACGCGGCCGAAGTACAAAGTAACAAGAAACTGATCGCGATAAAAGGAAATAATTGCTCGTCTTGTAACAGAGCCTCGGCCAGAGCGTCACCTCTGCTCCAACCGCATCCCCGACTACCGAGACTACGACAATTACGACAAGGCCGCCATCGACTGCAACTCGACCTACGGATACCACGAAAAAGACGGTGACACCGAGACCAACCTCAGGACCAAGGATACGCACTACAACGTGGTCGCCGAGCTCGACATATCCGCCCCCCCTCTTCAGTTCCTTCTCCAATTACGGTATTCCGGTACAGTCGCTCGGCGGCGAGAATTCTGGAAATGGCGCGTTATTCGGTGCTACCAGAGCATTCAGTCAGTTTCTCGGCGCTGCCCTCAGTGTAAGTAAATTCCACATTAATTGCTCGTTAGTTATCCCATACGCCGGTTCGCGACTGAGATGGGCAACATTTTCTTCGAATAATAGGCGATGAAAAACGCCAATTATATTTTTTACTAATTTACCGCGAAACATTTCGCGTAATTTGAATTTCTAATTTTTATTCGACCGGTTGTTTACATTTTATTCTTAATCGGATATTGTAAAATTTGTTTAATTGGAATCGAGTAAAGTGGATCGTGACGTTTCGATATGTTTACGTGTTGCAGGGGGCGGCGCAGCAGTTGCAGTCCTTAGTCAGAAATGGCACTAGAATCGTGTCAGAGGCGGTGGGTGGATAGAGACATCGGCAGGGAAAGAAAATTAATATATATTCCCTAGGATAAGAAATTAATTCGGTTTATTCTCTTTAACCTGAGAATTCGGTACGGTGGGAGCGTACGCGGGAGGACAATTTTGCTTTGGAGGATCTGGTGGCAGCCGATACCTGGAACAAGCGTTCGCATAAATAAGATCCTCGACGAATCTTGCCGATAGATTAAGTGTTCGTTCGATGTCGGTGGAAAACATTTCAAACTTCATTCTTTTTTATGTATAGATCGTAGCGTTACGTGTAATAGCTGATAGTCTAACTTGGGTGATTATTGATTACGTATTTTATTATAATCAGTGTAGATAGTAGCGGGCATGACGCTTGAAGCGCGATTCGATACCTAATCCTTAAAACACGGGGGCCTTGAATAACCTCCTCTAAATAATTTTTATCATTCGCGAATTGAACGATATTGAATTTAATATCAACTGTGTCCTCAATTTTAATCGAACTTCGTATGGATAATTTTATTTAGAATTATTTCGAAGTTGTCCAGGTCTTCCAAGGGTCGCTGTCGCCCGTGTTTTAAGTTTTAAGGGCTGGAGCCCTCGGTAGCGAGGGCGGAGACACCCGATGACGAAATTCTTGAAGGCTTCCGGTCTCGAGTTTTCGATAGGAGCAAACGACGCTTTGCAAACGTTTCTGGGGTAGCGTCGTAACGGTACGGCGCCTCGTACCTCCTGAGACATTTGTAACGTTCGTCGCAATTAAGGTAATTAATCCGGGGAGGGGAAGGGTGGGGAGGGGGGTCGACGACGCGCCTTGTCACGATTCGCGAGACAGTGACGATCCGCGAAACGCGTATCGACGCGGGCGCTGCCGCCCACCCACAAAGATCGATTCAACGGCGACCTCGTCGGCGATGCTGCGCTAAGAAGGTTGTAATTTAAAGTATCTCTTGAATGGGAGCGAGAGTGAGAACGTGTGCATGCGTGTGAGCGAAAAAGAGAAATAGAGAGTGGGAGAAAAAGAGAGAAACAAGGGTAGTCGACAGCGAAGCGTCAACGGAGCATTGTGTACAGTTCGCGCGCACCTTTACTGTACGGTGCGTCGCGTACCTTTTTTCCTTTTTATATAATAAAGCTGGAAGCGTGTACAGTACACGGATCCTTGGGGTCTCTTGTTTGTCTTTCATTCGTACGGATGGTAGCTCGGGTAGTAATGGTAGCGCCGAGTAATAAGCTTGGTAATTTAACGAGCGCACTAAGGGTTGAAACGTTGACGGTTCTTTTCCTATTCGAAATTTAGTGATATTGCGTTTCGTGGTACAGCGTCGCCGGGCATTTCGTTTTGCGCGAAAACGTGCCGAGATACGGCGCGAGGAATATTTCCACGGACGTTTGATACACCCGCAAAGTGATTCCGATATTTAAACAAAACAGCGGTTTTCGAACGTTCTCTATAACTTTCGAGTTACGCGTATCCCGGCGGATCGTAGGGTGTCGAGAGCCGTTGTTTATATAAATAAAAATGTCAGGGGAACGTAGCCACACGAAACAGTTTGTTTTTTGTTCCTTCCTTTTTTATTAAAAAGTTACTTGTTCTTTGTTTTTCTAGATCTACTGTGAGAATGTGATTGGTACCGATTTGGTAACGAATAAATCGGTACACTGTACACGGTATATTTTCAGTTATAACGCATGATCAAATCGTCGACTGGACTTCGATAACGTGAAGATATTACGAAAGGTTAGTACTTTACATGTTTCATTTTCAGTAGCATAACTCTCTTCGCTTCTTGGATTTAGTTGATTCTTGATCTTTCGATTTTATACAATTTCCTTGTATTTATAAATATCAACCATCAGTTGCTGAATATTTTACTCATATTAAATTTTTTTTTAGGAAATATATATTTTTGTATTTGTGCATACATTCACGTTGACATAGTTCTAACAGCAAATGATAGGTAACTTCTAAACCAGAGGTAAGGACGCAACTTCAAGCTGAGATCCTTCGATTGATGTATAACTTGTTTATTCTAGGACACGTAATCGGCGCAATATAGCTGTCATAAAATTTTCCTAACTCTCTGAAATACATAGATAGGCCAATTAAAAATAAGATGTGAAATTTATGCATCGTGGTGGTTTCCATTAATTCAGCGATGGAAAGGTTAATTCCTTTTATTGCTTTGACTTTTTGATACACTATTTTTTCTTCGAAGCAATTAAAAGTGACCCGCCTCTCACTTTCGAATTAAATAATTATTAGGTGTTTTTAATTCCAGACAATTTTGTTTACTGCATTTCCATTATTTCTCCTCACAATATAATTTCTAACGATTCTTTGTTTCGATTAAATCGTGATACGATCATTACCAGGTACATATACGTATATTCTAGGATTGTTTCCAAGAATATATTAAAACTGAAAAACGTCATACTAAATAAGAAGTAATATATAACCAAATAACACATGAATTTCATACCAAACTAATTCAAAGACTATTTATAACTATTTATAACGAACAATTTCCAGCCGATAGGATTTGCATAAAGTGTCGAAACGTGGAGGAAAAACAGAAATTTTACTTTTTCCTCGCGTGACTGACCATTCTAATACCAACATTACTCCACGTCATTTTCATTAGTTATTTAGTATTTAAATTACATTTAACTTATCTCCATCTTAATTAGTTATTTATAGCAGCAACAGTAATGCAATAGAAATTTATGTGGTAACAGATTTGGTATAAAATTACATTGCATAAATACATAATTAAACATCTTTCCCCAGCCGAAACAAGCATGCTCTCGTTCGTGAAATGATTAACAGCTCTGTTTGCACGCGTGCAATTGTTTGCCCGGGTTCGATTAAACCCGAAAAAGAAATTCGCTCGAAGTAATCACTTTGTTAATTGTTTTTTCCACGACGACAAAGGCGCCGCCCGGCGCAACGTTTTCGATTTGCAACGTCCCGGCAGTTTATGACGTGCGCGCGCCATAATTTCTCGCCCCGGGGCGCGTTCGTTCGCGTCACCTCGAATCGGGACGGAAATTGTTATTCAAAATAGTTCTAGATTTAACGTCCGTCATCGTGGCACAATCAGAGTGCGAGGCAAGAAAAGAAAAAAAAAGAAAAAAAATAAGAACTTGTTCCGCGGCTGTGATTAGCTCGCGTGACATACGGTTTCGATTATTGACGAAGAAGGTGTTTACAACGAGCGCGGTAGGTAGGAATTATTCAATTACAGCGTACACGAAGGCGTAGCTTTTTTCTACGCGCGGAAACAAAGTAAAGGAAAAGGCACGGGCAACCGAAAGAGAGATAACCGCGAATAAATTGCAAGCAACTTCTTTCCTCGTTTTTTGTACTTCGTTTCCCCTGCGCGGGAACGACGCTGAGGGTCGGTATAGAACAGTGGTGCACAATTACGTCGCTTTTCGTCAAGCAAAATGAAATTTATATTCAAAAATTCAATAGGAAAAGCTTGAGGGTGAAATTTACAAATCATACTTAGAGATTAGGATACTTTTAACTCAGGTTTACGAAGTAATTTTTAGCGAACAGTTTTGTTTCATTTTCTGTCAACATTCGAATCTTTAAACAAAATTAAATTAAATTTAGAATTAAATTTAAATTCCTAACAATTCATAGCAATTCACTTGCACATAACTACTGCAATATGACAAAATAAAATAAAATTTTGTCATATAAATGGAAATAATATTATTGTACTTTTGTTCTAACCGGAGATTCGCAGAGAGTATTATTTTGTTTTATTTGGCCTATTAAGGAGAAAGGTTGCGCACCACTGTTCTAGAATATTAATCACACGCTATGACGTATTTAACAGTCATTAGGGACAGCTGACTAGACAGGATTCAAAGTGTTCAGAAGTTGAAAGTGACGGGGACCTTCCTCTCTTGTACGCACTGACAGAAACAATAAATGATCTTTCCAGACGGTACAATATAATTACGAAGTATTTATAAGAATATATACATTTCTTTAACGTCCTGTATATAATGCAACACGACGTAAATAGAACAATGGCTTAATTCGCGGCGGGCTGTTCCACGTCGGGATCTCTCCTTGATTTTCTATTAATAATTAACACGTTTCACACAGGTTCACGACTTTTTCCATATAGTTTCGTATCACAGAAATTATTTTCTTTCAGCGTCATGGTTTATATTTGTCGATGAAGCGGCTATCGAAGACGGTATATAATTTTATCACGAAGTAACAATATCAGCGATTTGCGAAACTCATATCGTACGTCCTTTCATCCTTTCGTTATTAGCCGTGTAATTCGATAAGTATAGAATGTTAAAATCTTTACGTGCATAATCGTCGATTGATACTTTCCTAGATTCTTATCAAGGAATTGCCGTATGTAGCTTTCATTTTCGAGAATTTTTGCATACTGTAAATTAGATGCTATGAAAGAAGCAGTATCGACAGTTTAGGAATCCTCGTTGTAAGAACTCAGTTAATTAGTGAATGTTAGGATGTGATGTTTGGAGAATGGCTCGTCGAATGGATTTTAAATGCATTTTACACGAAGTTGTACTACTATATTGTATAACATACGGTGCTGGGTGTTCAGAGATAAATGCGGTATTCGTATAACGTTACTATCGTTATACAGTTAAGTTTCGCTCGAGGATGCCAGTTGCTCGATAGTTAATTCTATACCAGAGATTATTGGTGCTCGATGACGTTATTAAATCGTTGCATGGAAATACGTACGATTTTAAGCAGTATCATGTGTTGGTGAAATGCGTGTGTTACCTGGAAGAAGATTATTTACTACGAATTTTGAATCGATAAGAAGTAAACTTAAATCTCTAAATTTAAATGAAGATCCCAGTTTGATTGCTCGAATTAAATAATCAAGGAAAAGGTGTCATTTTTTAGTAGGATGAACGAAATTTCAACAAGAATGATCAATTTTTGACTGTAAGCACCGATTTCGATCAAAAATTGTAATGCAAAACTGCAGAACCCACTCCAAGCGATATATAGATTTTGGATGTCGACAATTTTGCGAATGGTTTTCGTTAATAAATATCGTTGGGATATAAAAGAAGGAAATAAACGACGGTGGGAGCAAATGCGTTTTCTGAGTAAGCATAATGGGCATGCCCGTAGGATGAAGGAGCTCGTTATGACAAAGAAAGCTTCCGATCGGCGATTAAAGGACGCCATTTAAATTTCCGTCCAGTCACCGATATCGGATCGTTGTTTACACTGTACTACCGCGAAACGGTCGCCGGGAGTAGCCGGGATACCGAAGCGCGAAGCATGCTCGAGGATAAAAGGGGGAGGCCTCCTCGTACAGGTTTTCGCCTCGGCAGGCTCTCGCCAACGAAAATCCCTGAAACGGAATTTCGCGCCGATAAATAACAAGAGAGCTCACCGACAATACCGGCTCGAATCGTTTGGTACCACATGCCACTTGGTACTCCGGCAATTTAAATAAATTAACGGAGAGCAAGCGTATCCAGGCCCCGCGTGGTCTACGAAGGTGAGGATGAAGAGGAGAGGGCAGAGGAGAGGAAACGGGAGGACGAGGAGGAGGAGGAGGAAGCGTGTACGCACGGACCGATTGTGAGACTGGAACACCCACGCGTGCTCGCGATGCCTCCGCGAATTTTTTCTTCCCCTCACGGATAATTACAGCTAATGGCGGTCATTGAGAATGCAAGATGCGTACGCGTACCGATGCTGGGATCCTACTGTTCCACGATCGACGATAACTCTCGTCGATCCGTCGCAATTTATAGATTTTGATTAGATTTACATTAACACGTTCACTGCCAGATCAAAACAGTGTAATATTTTGCAAACGTGAAATTTTTATTTTAAACCATTTTAAGCTACATAACCTACAATTTGTTTCACTACTTACTTTTTTGTAACCTTGTTAATTTTTCTAGTATCATAGTGGTAAATCCTGTCACCTATATACATATATCGGTGATGTGGCAGTCAAAGTGTTAAATTGCAATTTCTAATTTGAAAC